AAAACGGGTGGGATATTCTCAAAATAGCGAATAATTTACTTAAGGCTGTGAAAGCAAAATTGCAAACAGGGTTGTTACCTATTAATAAAAAATTATTTAATTAAACACATAAAGTGTTATTAAAAATTAATAAAGTGATGTTCCCTGAAGACTGTTTTCAATTTCATAACATCCTATAAGAAAAAGTGCTCCAATAAAGTTTCCACTTTATTTATAAATTTAATTAAGCATATAAAAAATTATTAAAAAACGTATAAAAAATAGTGCTCCTCGAAAGCAGTTTCCTATTTCAATATTCAATAAAAAAAACTCTATGAATAGTTGCCACCTAATAAAAAAAATKTTAAAAATTATTTACAAGCACATAAATTATTATTAGCAGTTAATGGAGGAGTTTTTACTAAAATCTTATTTCACTTAGAGTTGCCAGCTCGTCAAAAAAATTCGGGGTTTTAAAGCAAGTTTGTATGTAAGCCTATGTAGAAAAAGGAAACTAAAAAAATTACTATCCGAAATTTAAATTAAATCAATCATGTGTCCAATTTCTGATTATTTACTCTCCCAAATGGCTCCACAGAGTTGCCATATTTAGAATGCATATTAATAACTCAGAGACCTAATATTGATAGCAAACAAAAGTGGCGGATTATTTACTAAAAATAAAAATTAAATAGTTTGCCAATCTTTATATATAAAAAGTACGTGTCACGTYTTTTGTCCGCAATGGACTACTAAAGTACTRAACCGATTTTAGTTAAATTTAGCACAGTRTCCAGTTCGAACCWMCTTGGAAGATARGATAGTAAAAACAATTTATAAATAAAAAATCAATGGTCTCTTAAATGGATGCCAGCGAGCATCTCCATTCAACAAGCACATTTTTGATGTTTATTAAGTACAATCTAATAAGCGAACAATTCTAATATCTAGACAGAAAGCAGAATTAAATTCGTTATTTTTTCCATTGAAATTTATTTGAATGAACACATTCATAATTAAACCTCAGGAACAATCGCTTGGATTCTTATAACGACAAAAACGTTTTTGAAACAGCTTTCAATATGCACTCACAATATAAGTAGCAAGCACCAGTAATTAAGAGAGTATTTACTAAAAATTAAAATAGGATTACCAGGTGGCCATAAAATTGCAGCTGTGTTATATTTTTTAAGCATGTGCATGTGTCATATTGCGTATTGGTCATATTGATTTTTCGGCAAAATCAATTTATTTTATTCAAAATAGGCTCCTTCTGCTTCAATACAGCTTTTTTCACGGTCCAAAAGCACGTCGAACGAGTAATTTAGCTCGTTGGCCGCTATGGCCGCCAGTATGCCGGTGCAAGCCTTTTGTGTGGCCTCTACGTCTGCAAAATGCTTTCCTTTAATGGACAAATGCATTTTTCCAAATAGGAGGAAGTCGAACGGTGCCATAACAGGCGAAAACGGGGAGTGGTTAAAGATTACAATTACAGTTTTGGTAAAATAATCGTTCTTCGAATGTTAGATTCTGAGCAATTTTAGGTCATCAAATTACAAAAAAAAGATGGTTTGGAGATATTCAATTCCATTTCCATGAAATTCAATTATGATTTTTGCTAACTTTTGATGAATTCACGCATAATTTCGATGGAATTTCCGTTGCTCCGGATTTTGATTGATCATGTCCTCACGACCACTTTGAACACGTTGACCACTCGTGCACTCTGCTGGAGGATAGGCAATCAGCGCCATAAACTTATTTTAGCAATTGAAGCGCTTCGGTAAAAGTTTTACCAATTTTAGAAAAAAATTTAATATTGTTCGAAGCTTATTTACGCACTGATAACACAAACATACTGATACTTCAAACGCAATAACTTCACTTGCAATCAATGCAATGTCATGATCAATCGATAAAGATAAAGCAGATTTTAACGCACCAATCGACATTTAGATGGCACCACCAGGGGRCGCTAGATTCAAAAAGTCCTGTKTACTTTGGAAAGCATCTTGTAGCTTTCTCTATATGTGTTCTTTGACGCTATCTCTCCCACTCTCTCTATCTTTCCCACACTTTTGCTTGCTTTCTTTCTTTCTCGCACTATCTGTCTATCACTATCACTCTTCCTATCGCTCCCAACATCTCTCTTTCTCTCTCACACCATCTATATTTCTCACTCTATCTATATCACTCCCTCTCTTTCCAATTAATATCTTCCCTCCCTCTATTTCTCATCGAATTCTTCAATAATTGCCAATACYCCACTTTCACACTTAATTTGAAATAGAAACTTCCTTCAACTGCTTATTTTTATTGCAAGAATTCTTAAATTGTTTCAGAATTTCACTGCAATGATTTCTCTCCCTCCACTTCGCTTACCATAAATAGCAAGTAACATATCACAATAAGCCATCTTCGCTACAACAAGCGTAATTTTTCCATTCTGCAGCTAATCTCAGCTACATTTCACCCGGGCAGGGCGACTAGAGCAAATGCTTAACGCCGTTTAAATTGTTTCCTTTCATTAGCGCGCTGCCGTTGATGTGCTTAATTAAATGGAAAAATGGAAGAGCACAAGTGATAGAAAGACGAACGAACGCAGTAAAAGAAATATTTGCTAACTTCAGATGTTGCAGCCAATACCGGCTGCAAGTAAACTAGAAATAGAAATGTAATGCCACAATGTTGACAGAAATTACAAGCACATTGYTGCATTTGACTTTAATTTGTATGCTTGAATTGTGAGCTTTATAGCACGTAGAAGCGAGTCACTGGGCAACAGCTTTGTTTGAGGGCATAGRTTCATGTATGTATGGTACATGAGGTCCAGATTCTAATTGCTTGCAATTTACTTAAGCAGTGAATTCATTTGCTGCACATAGTGACCGCAAATACAGTTAGATGCTGACGAACCCTATTGAAACTGCGGTTACTCATACGACGTGCGGACCTCTTAGCTATGTGACCGAAGWGCTGCTATTAGTTCAACATATGCTTAGAAGTAGGCATATTTTTGCAATTTGAATCTAAAATTGCTCTGAGAATTTCAAATGTATAATAAAAATATATTTTAGATAGCTTTACTAGGAGAACCTTCGAATATGTCTGTATGAAAAAAATCAAAAAACCCAGGTTTATAAGATTACAAATTTATAAAACCAAATATCAAAGGTTAAAGGATATTTTTTT